GCCCCGGGGCGGGTCGGCGGGGGGGGCCCCCTGCCGCAGCAGGCGGTCACCCTCCGAGCCAGCCTGGTGGACGAGAGCGGGGAGCTTTTCCAAGCCCACGCTCGCTACAGAGCTGGGAGCAGCGGAGAGCTCGACCTCAGCCGCTCCCCAGCGCTGGGGGGCAGCTATTCGGGAGTGGAGCCGATGGGGCTGCTGTGGTCTCTGCAGTCTAAAGCGCCCTATAAGCGGCTGGCAAAGAGGAACGTCCTGACCCCTTTCTGTGTGGACTTTGAAGTGTATGAGGGCCACGGGGACATGAGCCGCTTGCTGGGAAAATGCGCCAATGAACGATGGTTTTTAGGAGAGGGGGTGAAGAGGATTTCGGTCAGAGAAGGTCGTCTGAAAGCAACCCTCTTCCTCCCTCCTGGTGAGTTTTAATTCCATTCTGGTTTTCCAGGTGTGACTTACACCACGTATTGTGCCCCGTGGCCCCTGGATGCACTCGGCAACCCAGAGCAAAGCGTCAGCTAATGGTTCCCTCAGCCTGTGCTTGGTCCAGCTGCTTGGGTCCTCACAGCAGAGCAGGGAGGAGCAGGCATTGCCCAGGAGGGTCAAATGCCAAGGTGGGGGGGGGGCTGCAGGGAGAGCAGCAGTGGTAACACGAGGCATGTCCTGTTTGCTCTAGCTGAGGGGGGTCAGGACCTCTCCTGCAGTGAGAGCTCTGGGGAGAAGCGTGTTTATTTCTTAGCTCTTCTGTTTAGCTGACAGGACAAAGAGGCCCCTGGTCTTCGGCAGAGCTGTGAGACGTGACAGCTCCAGCCGTGCAGCGAGAAATGATGAGGTGTGGTGGGAGCACTGGACTTGGGCTGCAGCCAGCCTAGGCTGCTCCAACAGCTGCCACGGATCTTCTTGCAGGCTTTGGACTTGCCTCTCTGTCTCTGGCTAAGGAAAAGCCAAAGAAAGAACTCTACCTGGTTGAACAGCTTGACTGCATGGGATACTTAGGAAGATGGGAGACAGATGAGAAAAGCAAGGTCTTTCATTAAACAGGCGTCATATTCCACAGCTCCGTATGGAGACAGTGTTGAGACTGGATCCTGTGTAAAGCTGCTCTGAGCCCTGAACTGTTTATGTTCCCTGAGCAGTACTTAAACGTGAATGTCTTGCTCTGTAATGAATAAAAAGTCCCTTGCAGCTGCTGTGACACCAAACCTTGTACGGGAAGTCTAGCTATAAGAATGGGCAGTTTTTTTTAGAAGGTCCTATGGCTGCAGGAGAAAAACTGAGAAGCCCAGGGGTAGTTACCCAGATCAGACTGAAGCCTGAATTGGCATAGATCGGTGCTGGCATTTGTGGGTGCATTTCATAACTCAAGTATTCTCTCCCTGGAAAACCTGCTAGCACAGTTCTTAAAGAAGCACTGCTCGTGCAGTGGTACTGTTTGTTCATCAGTCTCCAATGGCCTGAGAACATCTAGGCCAATTTCAGCTGAAATTCATGGTGGGAGAAAGATGCCCAACATATGAACTTCCTATAGTGAGTTCCTAAGAGAGAGAAGAAATATGCAAATTAGTGTCCTTACAGTGATTGTGCGTGTAGCTGAGAATGAGAACCTCCATGGAAAGCTTCAGAGGATGATTTCCTTTTGATATCTACTGTCCTGTTGTGTGCTGAGGGCACTACTGAAGAGACAACTGTAGCAACTTTTCTCTTTGAGTGTGTATATATATACACACACACACACACACCCCTTTCATTGCAGGATCTGGTCCATTCCCTGGACTTATCGATTTGTATGGATCTGGAGGAGGTCTTGTTGAATACAGAGCAAGTCTTCTGGCTAGCAGAGGCTTCATGACTTTGGCTCTTGCTTACATGGCCTTTGAAGATCTCCCTGCTATGCCAGAGATTCTTGAACTGAGCTACTTTGAGGAAGCTGTAAACTTTTTGCGGAAGCAACCGCAGGTAAGAGACAAATTATGATACTCATCTTGTTGGAAACTATTTTCCAGTTTTCTAATATGAAATGCTATATGTCACTGAATGCAACTAAGTTTTTGAGATGTTAGAAGGAGACAGCATTGTCTGAAAGACAGCATGAACTGAGAGATGGAAAAGCATGTGCCTCAACTCCAGTTTTGCAAGTAGTTGGATAGCTGGTTTTGTGCAGCATCTTATGACAGTCCATAGAGTGTTGTGCAAACCAGTGTTTGTGTAAGATTAAATCAAAGCAGTTCCTGGACTAGAAGCACACCACCACTTAATTTTTTCCCCTACATTTGCATCTTTCAAGATTTTAGAAGGAAAAAAAATCCATTGACTTTTTCTACTATTTCTGAAATGTACAGGCTTTTGATTCTGAGTAACTTTCACAAGACAGTAATAAAACACTTTAACAACAGAATCCCTTACAGTTGTAGCACTGGAAAGTATGCCATATCTTAAGAAACTGGGGCTGTATTTGAACAAGTATGTGAGATGAGAAGGGCACTTTATAGCAATATATCATCATACTTAAACCAAAAGGGACCGAGAGAAATCAAGTAGCATTTAAACTTTTGAATGGAATGCTACCTAATGTGGTATTCATTTTACAAAGTTGTTTATTTTCTAGCATGTGGGCATCAGGAACGTAGCCAGTGTGAGAGCAGAATACAGCCTTGCTTGTTTGTCTTGTTCCTCATAGAGCTCTCAAACTTCCAGAATATCTTACAAGGCACACATTACAAAACGAATTTGGTGTGAATAGCCCTCACTTTAAATAAGTTGATTTAAACAGGAGGTAACAGGTCAGCTGTAGGAGAGTATCAAAAAACAATGGCATGAAAGAAAATCAATGCAAATAAATCCATGAAAAAGTGCTTTTCCAAAGGGGATCTGAGGAGAGAAGGTCGAGGGCGGCTGGAGGCAGGAGCAGTAAAAGTTACAACACTGAGAGCAAGTGTCGACCCAGGATGTGGAGGGAGCAAAGAGGCTTTGTCTATAGAGGTCACTCACCAGCAAGAAAAAGTGTTACAGAAGGAGAAATGTTGAGGAGCTGTAGAATTCATAGTCACTGTCATGGAGGCTCAGCAAGAGGATAGAAACGGGAATGATGTAGCCTGAATAGAGAGGGAAGGATAAAATGTGGGTGGTCTTAGTTGGATGAGGAGTGAGGAAGCAGAACTGGAGACGTTATGTCAGCCCAGGAAATGAGGAGTGGTTGATAACGTTTGTTTCATAACTGTGTTTCAGGTGAAAGATACTGGGATTGGCGTTTTGGGCTTGTCTAAAGGAGCTGATCTAGCCCTTTCCATGGCCACATTTCTACCTGGCATCAAGGCAGCTGTCAGCATATCTGGAATTGGTTTTAATTCTTTCATTCCCCTGCGGGGGGATGGCTTCACTCTTCCTCCCCACCCATATGATTTGGGGAGGATGAAGACCAGTGATGAGTCTGGCATCGTAGATGTTTCAGATGTCCTAGATGATCACAGGGACCCAGCAACTTGGGATTGTCGCATTCCAATGGAGAGGTCCTTGGCTAAGTTCCTCTTCCTGTCGGGACTGGATGACATGAACTGGAAAAGTGACCTCTGTTGCCGGGATGCTGTTCAACGCCTTCAGCAGTATGGACGGGAAGTGGAGTTTTGCTCCTATTCTGGAGCAGGACACCTTTTGGAGCCACCATACTTACCTCTGTGCCAGGCTTCAGTCCACAAAGTGCTTGGGATATTTGTGCATTGGGGAGGGCAAAGGAGGGAGCATGCCAAAGCCCAAGAAGATGCATGGCGCAGGATACAGGCTTTTTTCTGGCAACACTTGATGTACTCAGACATCCCTAAGAGCAAGCTGTAGTGGAAGCTGTCAAAGATGCTGACCAGGGTTGGTGTTTCAGCTCTCACTGAATCTTGGAAACTCATTGAAAGTTTTCTGGCCTGCCTTCCTCTAAACTCCGCTGTTGCATAGTTGTTTATTTTCATTCCCCAAATAATTTTCCATTTTTTAATTGAATTTTAGTTGTCTTCTGATCCCAGCTGCACTGTAGTCACCATCTGATCTGCCTGTGTGCTGTAGTCGTTTGAGAAAAACCCAGCATCCTGTCATGCGGATTGCATTTGTACTGAGCTATCTTTGCCCTCCATATCCAACCATCTCCTTTGGTAGCAGGGAATACTCTCATAGGAGGAGTTTTCCATTGAATTGTTTAGTCTTGCACCTTTAACTAACCTAGATGTAAACAGCACTTTCTTGGGGCAACACATTAGTACACTCACCTTTCCTCTTGGTATATCATTTTCTCACATTTCTTAGTAAAAAGATTGCGGCAGTTCTCATCTCAACTAAGAGGCACTCTTCTGACTTATTCTGAAGTGCAGTGATAACATTTTTTTTCTGGTATGTCAAAAAACGGAAGAAGTGAATCTTACCTAGGTTACACTGGTTGTATCTCCTGCTGACTCCAGATAAGTTACGTATCAGGGTAAAGTTTCCACTGCGCTACTCAATAAATACAATGTGTATGTGTGTATGCACAGTTTACTTGAAATTATCTGAATGAAGCCTTTGACTGTCTTTATGCTTATAAATACACGGGCAGCAATCCTGGTGTAGTCACAAGCTGTCGCTTCGCCTGGCTGAAGAGTATATATACAGAAGTCCTTACCTCCTATTGGTAAGAGGAGTGGAGTCTGCAGTAGGGATCTGCACAGTGCTCAAGATGGGGGTGATACAGATGTGCTAAGTACCTGCTTTTGAATGTTGAAAGTCAGTTTATCCCCGTTTTGGGGAGGAAGAATAAAGTCACTGCTGCTGCTGAGTTCCCAGGAGCCCTGTGGAATGGGCTGTCTCACTGGTCTTGCCCCTATAGCAGACAGCTGTGGGCTCAGTGACAGCTAGGAAATGCCACTCTTCAGAGAGAACTGACCTTGCCTTCTGGGGAGAATGTGCATTATCTCACCCTTTAATGAGGTGCAAGCCTGCCAAGGACAGCTGTTATCTACCTCGTGCATTTGTGGGATAGTGGCAAACAGCAACTTGCTGGCATTTTCTAGATATCAAATGGCATCTGTCTTTTGCTGAGGCAGCAAAATCTTGCCTTTGAGAAAGCAGTAGTCCCTGGTTTCCAATT